TATCACAATAACCATAAATATATATATACGCCAATACATATACTCTATAATATATAAAATATATTATACATAAATATACATTATATATACATATAACATATATCATAATACATATAATAATACTAAACATACACTATACTATTATCTACATATTATACACCAATTTACATATACTCCAACTACCATTCATATACTCATAAATACCGAATACATCATATATCACTTATCGAATTCACATTCATAATATTATAATATACACATATATACATAATAAAATATGTATATATGTTATTACTATACAAATAATAAAAATTCTATAATACTACATACTGTTCTCTCATATAATACATCTATACTCTATATCTCATTTTATTTCTTCACTACTTTATCCTATAACATATATATCCTATCATTATTACCTTAACATTAAAATATCTATATAAAATCACCCATTGCTAATCTATATATACATCTACATCTATATCTATATCTATATTTATAATATCATATATAATCTATATCCATATATATATACATGTATACATATACACAAACACTCAAACATAGATGCATAAATAAATACATACATACTTGCATCCACATATATTACATATATCAAAAAGATATCTCTTTGATTCCTCACAATAGACTACAAAAGGAGAACTGGAACCTCACCTTCAACATCACCTTGCTGACTTTCCGTTTCATATAGAAGAATCTTTTTCATTTTTCTATAGTTTAGATTATCAAATTCACGCACAGCTTTTTTTTGTACGTGCAATTAGATCTAGGATGATGTGGCACGACCGATGTCTCAAAATAAATTCATGCTGAAATGGAATAGTTTGAATTAGTAACACAGCACTATGTGCATCAATCTGATCTTTAAAAACTTACTTCCTGGGATAAGAATAAAATCAAAGCTAAAAAAAAAAAAAAAAAAAAAAAAAGAAGGAAAATGTGAAGACTTCAACAGACTGCTATGGGTCCCAGACATCTACTTTTTTTGATTAGTGGTTTCAGGTTTAGTAACTGGTTAGAAAGGTCCAAGGCAAGGTACTCAATTTAAATAACCTAGAAATGAAAGAATTAGGTTTTTACAAATTCAAAAAAATTTATTTTTCATCCTTCCAATTTTATTATCTATACTAGATTTGCATAATTTCCTATATTTATTGTTTCATTTTCTTTTTTTTCTTCTTTCTTTCTTTTTTACTATTACTACTACTTCTACTACTACTACTACTACACTAATACTAATACTAATATATAAACCTATTTAATACTACTTATTACTATTTTACTACAAAATTTCCCTGTAGTGTAAATTACTTTAAAAATGCAGTTTCAAAATACTATTAACCCACTAATGCCAGTATATTTTGAAGCCAAAAATAAAAGTTTCTGGCAGCTACAAAATCGGCGGACGTGGCTGGCCCGGACTCTGCCTGTGCACCAGCCGTGGCCCGCTGCTGAGTCAGAGCACAAGCCCCAATACAGCGTCACACCGGTGGATACCGGCAATCTTTTTTTCCTGGGTGTCTCATATGTGGGGCACCCGTTGTAAATGGGTTACACTGAAATCTACTAACCCAAATTGGATGTATACCTCCCAGGCACAAGATGATGAGAACCTTCATAAAACTTTTTATATAATCCTAAAATGTGATAGAACATTTGGAAAAGTCTGTTTACTCATCACTCAACTGAAGCCAGCATTCATATAGGCCTATCTATCAACATGGGTTGCAGCACCTTTCACTATTTATTTTTTGTTTTTTTGTTTACATGATTATCTCCTGCTCAGCAAGTCTGTTAGAAACACTGAACCATTAAGCATTTATCAAATAACGGTATGATTACACCTTCTATGTTAAACACTTTCTGTGCTAAATACTGCCACATTGAGTTACAACTATTTTTTTAAACATTCTGTGCGCAATATTTTTAATCAAGCCCTCCACAGAAAACTGGTAGGTCATTTGGTCTAAGCTCTCAACCACTATTTTTTAAAACATATGGTTCAACTATTAAGAAACCCTGAGGTATGCCTCTGCTTCAAAGAAAACAAACGGAAGGATTCACTTTTAATCTGAGCCTATGTGCCAATGCCTGAGAGTCCAATGCTACTACAATTCTCATAACTCGCAGGCCAACAAACATCCTAGCCAGCAGTACTACTTCCATAAAACAATTACCTTTATTAACCCCATTCCAATGAGACTGCCTGAACTGTTTTACATGTTCTCAACATAAAAGAAGGAACCTTCACATTTTTTTAACACATGTTAACATTTCCTAGATTGCATTTACTAAAGATTTCAGTGCTCAGCCTTAAGGTAGAGAGTCGTCGGTATGGGTCACAAATTACAGTTTTTTCAAACTTTGTGTGTGGATACGTGAGCTTGTGACGCACCATGGGTGCCCAGTTGCCAGATGCGTAATGTGCTCCTTTCCGCGATTTAAAGGTCTGGGGGTATTTAAATGCCCTCGCTCTGCCACACCCCTTTTTGCTTCATGCTTTGTTTTCCTTGTATTTTCAGCATTTTTTTGGCTGTTTTTGCTAATTAATTTGGTATGATACTGTACGATACTTTATGCTGTGTTCAGCAGGCAGGCAGCAGCAGCATGGATGGGAGAACAGTGCGATTGATAAAGTTGTTGGGAGTACACATGCATTGTTTTCAA